ATCCTTATCAGCATATGGAATTATGGGGAAATGACACCTCCGATTATCAAAGTGTAGAGGGTAGAGCAATCAATATCCCTATCCCGTCATCAATTGAAAGTTTGTCAACCTATTCAAATAAGACTAGATTTGTTGAAGAATCTACAAGCAGTAGTTCTGATCAGGCTGAGATTGAAATCATCAATAAGAGGTATGTTAAATGTATTAATAGAAGGGCCATAAGCGGTTAACCAGAATGTTATAGAATCAGGGTTTTGTGGAATTTTTATAATGGGTTTTTTGCAGTTGATTTTTTTTTACTTTTCGATTATACAATATTCCAAAATGAACTGTTAAATACTGAACACTTGTAAGTGTTCTGACTGGAAGGTATATCTTGCTTTTTCAGAATGTCTGCTCCCCCAAACAGTCCAGCAAGTGACAGTTCTGTCGAGGCAGAAATATGGGTCTGCTACGAGTGTCAGCTATCAGCTATTGACCCCTCAAAACTTGAAACAGAACTAGTTTGTAGTGATAACACTGTTTTGACTGACGCAGATGGAACACTCTGGCTATACTGTGCATCATGCCACAGACAGTTCCATTTATTCTGTGTTGACAATCTGTCAGATAGTACAACCATCCATGACATCAATTCTGATGGTTTTTACTGGTGTTCGCACTGTGGTTGGTATAAGTAACTGAGCAAATATGGCCGAAGAACAGTTGTTAGATTTTGGCAAAGGCATTGCCGATGTACCAGGAGCACTGGATGTTATTTCTGAATATTTTTGTACTGATGATAAAAATGCAAGCAATAATGATGTATTGGAAGACTTTGCTGAAACATGCATAGATTCTAGCCTCTGTACACCACCAGAATACGGAGAGGATACTGTTAATGTGTCTGAATTAGATGCTGACCGCGATGTTGTTGAAGTGACTCTTCCAACTCTGTCTATACCCTTATCCCATTCTGATTGTGAACTGGAGGTGCAATCCTTTATTGAAAGTGGGTGTTGTGCATGGAATTGCACAAAGAAGTTTCCACTTGATATGATTCAGGAGTCAAGACTGGATTGTCTTGAATTTGATTTTTATTGTGATAATCACGTTAATCATCATCATATCTTAATGCTCGGAGCATTGAATACCCTTGTACAGAACCAGCCTCATACAGTGAAGAAAGGTCATGCCCTCAGCCAAGAAAGGAGACCAGAACAACGTACATGTTCAGAGGTGTCACAGTTTGTCGAGAATTTTTCATGTTTGTTTTGGGTCGGGTATTAAGCGTCTTAAAACGTCAAAGAGCATATGTTAGTTTCTGGAATAAATGCCAAGAAACATGGCAGGGCAGATAAAACCAATCAATCAACATGTCTCACATTAGAACAGCGAAAAAAGGCTGTACAGTTCATCGAAAACTATGGTGAGCAGAATGCCTTAGTGATGCCTGGTCGCATTTCGGGAAGGAAAAACACTGACTTAAAACTTTTGCCTTCTCACATGACCAAAAAGCTTGTATACGGAAAATACGAAGATGCGTGTCATGACACTGACGAGGAACCCGTGTCAGTTCACACATGGTATGCAACATGGATGTTGTTTTGTTCCCACATTGTTATCCAAAGACCAAGAACAGATCTGTGTGCTGTTTGTCAGCAGAACAGTATGACCATGTCGAAACTCAAGACTTTCTGCGACAATAAAAAACGAGAACTTGCCAAAAGAGTTGTAGAACATATTGACCAAGTGACGTCTGAACGTGGATTCTACATTTCGATAATTGACGAATGTCGTCAAGACGTTGAACTGTTGACACCCGAACTGACCCGTTCGCCCCATCAGCTACTGACATACAAAGGTAAAATGCATCAGAGTTTTGATTTTGCTCAGCAAGTGTTTTTGCCACAGGATTCTCAACAAGTTGGACCTTTATACTTTCTATGTGGCTACAAGGTTGGACTCTTTGGAATTGCCGTAGAACCACTCAGGAAATTTGTCCTTTACATTATACCTGAAGCAGCTCATTGTGGGAAAGGATCAAATGTGGTTATCTCACTTCTTCACCACTTCTACACAAACTTTAGTGTAGGAGAAACCGACTCGCTGTGTCATGCTGACAACTGCTGTGGTCAGAACAAGAACAATTTCATGATGCAATACTGTCTTTGGCGTACAGCTACAGGTCAGAACCAGTCATTTCAGATCAGCTTTATGCCTGTTGGACACACCAAGTTTTGGCCAGATCTGTTGTTTGGATTGTTTAAGAAGCGATGGCGACGTGAACAGGCTTCATCAGTGGCAGATGTACAGAGAATAGCAAGAGAGTGTTGCCCAGGGAACGTCTTCCCTGTTGCTGTCGGGGATGAAGCTGGCCACACTTTCGTGCCGATCTATGACTGGCAGTCTAAGTTCAAGGCACATGGATTCCACAAAATACCTGAGATAAAGAAGTTTCACCATTTCTTCTTCACAAACCAGTCACCAGGGATTGTCAGCTGCAAAACAAGTTTGAACAGCGATAGTGTCCGTTTCACAGTTGGTGAAGTTGCTACACTGGACAAATCGCTCCCAAACATCATCCATCCAGTAGGATTGAGTTATGCCAGGAAGCTGTACCTGTACAATTCTATCAGACAGTATGTTCCTGATGACTCAAAAGACACACTTTGTCCTCTTCCGTGTGCAGTCACTGCATATGTACCACCTGAGCCAACTGAACCTGAACCTGAACCCGGGACATCAATGGTTCAGGATGCGCAGAATGATGATGGACCAACCAACAAAGATAATAAACAAACAGGCACTCTGCAAATTGAACCATTTGTGTTTCAAACACCAGAAAAAAAGAGGCGTAAAACCCCAACCTGTTCTTACTGTCTCCAGGCAGGTCACAGAAATCAAACAATCAGGGGTAGGTTGGTCTGTCCTAAAAGACGGGAAGACATTATGAAACCAGCCACTGCAGACCATGTGGATACTGATTGATCGTAACATTATGTTGAACTGTTCAAGGAGGCATGGGTGGCATTTCTGGGTCTCCGTTTGTCATTAAGGTTCTATACATAAAAGTATCTGAAATTCAAGCACTATTTCAGTTGTTATTAACCAATGTGAGAGAGTTGGTTTTACGGTGTTTTAACGGTATCTCATTGCAAACTAGTATTAATTCAATGGGTGAGTGAGTGAGTTTAGTTTTATGCCGCATCCAGCAATGTTCCAGCTATATGGCGGCGGTCTGTAAATAATCGAGTCTGGACCAGACAATACAGTGATCAACCGAATGAGCATCGATCTGCGTGGGGAACCGATGACCTGCGTTAACCAAGTCAGCAAGCCTGACCACCCCCGATCCTGTTAGTCGATTCTTACGACAAGCATGTGTTACTGAAGCTCAATATTCTAACCCGGATCGTCATGGGTAAATTCAGTGGAACGCTTGCAACTCCACAGTTGTGAACAGTGGAACCTGCTGTTGCAACTTTAGTCTTCATATCATGCATTGCACAATAGCGTCACTACATGAGAAGATATCTAGATCCCAGTAGGATTCCGACCAAAACCGTTTGATCAAAATACGACCACTGTCTCTCCCAAAGTCTTTGTAACCTCAGAATGCATGCAATCAAAGAAATCAAATTAATATAACTTTGTTTTGCATGTCTAGGTATCCAGTTGTTCGTCTAAAATAACCACATGTTTATGACTCGTTATCTACCAGGTGTATTGGGTAAATAAAATATTCATGCATAATCATAAAAACTTAAGCTAAAAAGGGACCACTTCGACCATTACGCATGCGCGCGCTATTTGAACAGATGAAAATAAAATTCGTTTTTGCTTTATCAACCTTATCTGTTAACAACACACATTCAAATGAGCACACGGTAACTTCATACTTATAATTCTTTTATGGCTGAAAGAATACACGCATCTCTTTTAACCCGTATTTTCTCACTTAAGCATTTCTACCAACTTCTAACCCCACCATCATTTAACTGGGCACTACATTGTCAGTTTAAAAGATATCGGGTTAATTCATTTTGCCTTTATTGGGGGCAATCTTGTAGATTATGAATCTGTCCTTATCGCAATACCGACCATGTGGTCCCTTTACCGGTAGCCTTCCCCATATATCTGTGATACTCTGCTTTACTGTCCTTTGTCGGCAGGTCGGCAGGTTTTTATAATATCTATCTCCATATATTATGTTTCAATATCAAATGTTCTCGTCACGATATGGCTGAAATATTGCCGATGTGACGTTAAATCTTAACTCACTCACTCACAATTTCTGAAGCCCATTTCTGGTGTCCCACGCCGGGATGTCGCTAAAAGCGGCGTAAAATCATATTCACTCACTCACTCATGCTCAAGGTTGCTCACAATATACTCATTTCACTGACCGCAAGTATTTGGAAGGGTCACCATATCAGTCACTTGATTGTGTGGTCAAGATTCGCTTATCTGCAGGTTCTCGTCTCGTGCGACATTAATGCATGATGGAATGTAGATAGGCTGTTTGCATGAATCCGCGTATCAATATTGTGCACGCGAATGAGCTGAGGTGAGGTGAATTTGGGTTTAACGTCGTGCTTGAGAATATATCGCTCATATGACGACGTACATGCGTGTGTATGTGTAGTTACGGCTGCTTGTACTAGCCCAGTCTGAAGCTGGTTTATAGTGCTAGCCTACTGATATACCATGCCGCAGTGAAGCATGAATACCCTACTGAGACACATTATACTGACTCCGAGCCGACCAGTCCTTGGTGTACCCATTAATGCCGAGCGCCAGGCAGGGACCAACTAGTACCATATTTTAACGTCTTTTGGTATGACGCGGCCGGGGATCTCCGGGCGGACGCTCCAACCACTACACCACGGAGGCTGTCTGCACGCGAATGAAAGCGACAACATTTTCGGATGTTGACAAAATTTATACTCAAGGAGTACATTTTTTGTCCCTTTTTTGTCTGTGACTACAACACCTACTGTGATAGCTGGAGTCGTTCAAACACTTAATTGATATGAGTTTTATTCAATGCCAACCTAAAAGTCTATGCTACTGACTTCTTTATTGCACAAAGTACAGGTTGTTACTGACAGCCGTTAAGATAGACGTCTAGCAACTCAACCCTGACCACGTTAACTCTGTAAACCAGTTTCGGGCGGTTGAAGTGCCAGACAACCAGTTCAGCCTCCTCTGGTTTCGCTGTTGCAAAATACATCATCTACAAAAATAAAACAACCATGATGAATCTTTCTTCACTTTGAAGTGGTTAAAATAGGTTTACGTTAGCATGAACAAAATTCATCATTTCATTGTAAATGCGTTCATTGAAATGACACTAATTACATACTGGACAGATGCTTTCATTATATGATAGACAATCAGCCTCAGAATAAACCTGTGACTGTTGCTTTTTTTCATCTGTTGTTTAAACCACATTCCGGTTTGTAAATAATTGATCTTGGACCAGGCAGTAACTGAAAGCAGTTAGCAGCGATCCAGGCAAACAGATTTTTAGCGAGTCCACAATTTACCTGAATAGGAAACCCTCCGAGAACTCTATATATGACACTCTGGTGATTGTCCAGTCTGAACTTGATGCTGTTCTCCAGATTGTCTCGTATTTCCTCTTTGTATTCTTCACTGTTTAGACCTGATATACACGAGGAAATATGGTGACTTAAATAATATTGGTTGTATAATCACATTACAGAGTGAAGGGTTGTTTTCGAAAAGAAATACATCATGACATCTTTATTGCTGAATACAGGACTTTTGTCTATGAATCGCAACCTTATAATATACTGCGCAACTCAAAACATTTTTTTACCTTCCATTCTGAAAATTGCATCCCATAAGTAGATGTAGTCTCCAGTTATGTCTGCTGAAGGCGGGGCACTTGCAATAAGGGTCTTGTTCACCCCCAGATCAGCTGCAAGTTTTTCACCAAGTATCAGAGATTTAACAGTGATGTCCAGATTAGCCGCCAACAACTTCTCTTCGAGAGGACGCATATCACACAGGCTGGGTATATTCAGAACTGGAAAGTAGTTATAGAGAGGTCACACTCAACAGAGACCCCGAGTCAGGTAAGTATAACACGGTAAGTATTTGATTATTTGTGAACAGCAAAAAGAGAAACTATGGGATCATGAAATTTCTCCGACGGAAATCAATTCCTTCTTTTACAACCAATTTATGGTATTTCACACAGTATAATTTGCATGTGTCCACAAACCGTCGTGTTGATCGGGCGCTTGTCTGATATCCCAAGTTGCATGTATATTCGGCAATTCAAAATATGTACTTTCCTGACCATAGGACTGTGAGTGAGTCTAGTTTTACGCCGTACTCAACAATATTCTTGCTATATGGCAGTGGTCTGTATATCATCGATTCTGTACCAGACAATCCAGTGATCAACACCATGAGCATAGATCTATGCAATTGGAATAGGATGACATATGTCAACCAAGTCAGCGTGCCTGACCTGCCGATCCCGTTAGTCACCTCATACGACAAGCATGGGTTACTGAAGACCAATTTCACCTTCATGTAAGGGGTTGCACTTCGACCTGAGCTTAGCAGGACAAAGAAGAGATGAAGATCATTTTATTACAGCAATTGCCTGTGGACAGGTTCAAATCTGTTTTCCTGATATCAACAATATTTTGTTAAACAGGGTTAAATTTTTTTAAAAAGAACGTCAACAATAACAAATCTGACAAAGTAAGTGCTGAAGGCCAACTAGGTACATTATTCAGCACAGTTTCCTGCCCACTGGGTTTTCTTAACTGTCGGTACCCATGAAGAGCCACCTCCTCGTGGTGGGTGCTGGGTAACGCTAAGAGCCCTTCAGCCCCCCGTGTGGACCCAGAGGCATATTTGGTCCACCAACCCGTTTGCCGTGGGTTGCGCCCCTATGTCGGTGGAGGACGGGAGTCTGGTGGTTGAGGGCACTAGTTCCAGGAACAGTGTTCCTTTGCCCAACACACCACTTCGCCCCTTACTTCACCTAGACGGGTGGTTGAATGGGCCCGGTTCGACCAATCGGCTGGTCACGCCAAGCCCTGTGCTGCAACTACGTAATGCTCAAAATTAACCAAAAATATTAATTTGATATTTCAGGCTTGGCCACACTATCTTGAACCAATGATGCCAAATGAATATAATTTCAGGTGTGTTTTTGCCTAGAGTCGTATGCCAGAAGGCGGTGGCTCATGGGCCAATCTGGTGGGAAACCCCGTGACAAATCAACAGAAGCAGTTTTACGTCAAGTGTGTACTTACTTGCTAATACTCTTGGTTCACCAACCACCTGCAAAAAGACATCAGTACGTACATTCTATCTCTTAATCATCTTTTGTTTTTGGTATACTTCAATTGACAATATATAAGTCAATTAACCCATTTATGCATATTGTCCATTTTTGGGAAGCATTTCTCTCTTATTGTTCAAGATAGAGACTTGCAGTATAGAAGTGAATGACGATGAGAAACCTTTAAGTGGTTGAACCATTCACATTACTTGTAAAGGCAGGTCTCTTGAAGCATGGCGACCTCCAGTGGTAAGGCGGTTCCCCTGCCGATTCGGGGAAGTTTGGGGTTAGATGAGTGTTTTCTTGGTCCCAATTTTAACTGCGTAAATTCATTAGAATGTGTTTAAATATGTCGTTATTCAAACAGAAATATAACACTACATTCAGCTACTGGAACATATTGTGCCCTTGATCTGGCACTCACCGATTCAACCTTGTATAATGAATTTGAATGGCTGGGCCATGATGACCTATGTGTGAGTGATCGCTTCCCCACCATTCTTAAAACTCTCAACCCTGGTCCATGGTTCCTAGTATGGTGATCTACCTTCGGTTGTTGGCAATCTATAGCCCGTGTTTTGTATTGTATTGTCTTCTTTAATTAAAATCTTTAAGCTTGACATGCTAGGTTTATGTTCATATATGTGATATTCTAGTGTTTTTACTGTCCATCGTCGACAGGTTTTCCTCTCCAAAATGTGTTCATTGTTTTGTATAAATTGTTTTCGTCGCGATATGGCTGAGATATTGCCGATGTGCCGTTAAATATTAACTCACTCGCCCCTGGTGACGATTCTCCTTTATCAAGAAGGAGTGAGTGAGTGCAGTTTTACGCCGCACTCAGCAATATTCCAGCTATATTGCGGCGGTCTGTAAATAATCGAGTCTGGACAAGACAATCCAGTGATCAGCAGCATGAGCATCGATCTTCGCAATTGGAATCCGGTGACATGTGTCAACCAAGTCAGCGAGCCTGATCACCCGATTTATCAAGAAGGAACTCCACCAAGGCTGATTGGTCACTATATAAGACTCCATAAGACTATATAACACTTGAAACAGCGAGGATGCAATACATCCGCTGTCGGATATACTTAACAATATTGCTGACAAAACAATTTCACAGTCCTCTGTAACTCCACATATTCGTAAACCATGGTTCAATAATATATGAAAACAGGCCAGAAAGTGCAGGAAGAAAGCCAAAAAGTAGTTTCGACGACATCCTACCGTGCCTAAATTGAATAAAGTTTAAAATCATAAATGCCAAGGCTCGACGCACAATGAAACGGGAAAGAGTCATTCTTGGCGAAATTATGTTTCCAAAATAAAATCCTCAACATGTATTTCAAAGGTGTGGAACATGATACAAAGAAAACAGGGCAATGGTTCATCATCTACCGTTCACCATTTGAAGGACGGTGGTAATTTATAAACTGATGGAGCTGACCATGCCAACAAACTTGGTGTCACTCTCGCTAAGCATTCGTCTTCATCCAATTATGTCCCTGAGTTTCAGAAACATCAGAAATAATATGTGGTTCACAACCTCTGAAACCTGGTGTGGTGTACTCTGAGTAAAAATTACTATTTAATCAAGCAAACTGAATCAATCATTATATTTTCGCCATATAATACTTACTATGACATACCAAGAAATACTTAATCAAGGCCCTTCATATTCTCCATGAAAGATACATACACTGGTGCTGCCATTTTATCACGCGTGTGAATGCACCAACCCTACACTGGAAAATAACCCTGTACGCATGTGTGCATATCGTCCCATTTTTAGGACGCACTTTTGCGTCGTAAAGAAAGTACTGAAACAAATTATTAACTGGTAAAATGACGCCCCATTCCTTTCATTGCTTGCCAAAAGAATCAAGCTCACAAAATTTGATGAAAATATAAGACCCTATGCATATATGGGTTAATTATTTGAATACTCCTGAATCCACACAATGCGTTTTGAGCAAATGTATCAAAAACTAGATCTAACCTTGAAGATGAAATCAACACCAGCTGTTTTTTGCAAGATGATGTTTACAGAGGACATGGTGGTCTTTACATCAGCGAGGCCTGTTGGTTTAACGATGTCGACAAGGAAACGAGCGTTGTCTTGGCATCTTGCCAGGCCCAGCATGAGAATAACGGACAGAAAGGCAAGCGTAGGATGATCCATCGTTGCAGGTTAATCTGGAACAAACGCTTTACTGATTCATCACAGTTGGACTTCCCATATATATAGGTGTAGCAATAGACAGGTCCATTTACGAAAAGGGTTGGTACGTTGCGTAATGCACGAACACAAATCCTATATCTAAGGAATCACATGATCAGACGCCCACGTCTTTTTTCAAGATAATTCTTTGCCAGTTTGTTACTACAACCAATCACAGTCCAAAGATCACAGTATTCCGCCTTCGCATCAACTGATTGGTGAACTTTCTGTCTCATAAAGCTTCATGATGCATGTACAATTGATGGAGTGATGAAAATGTGTCATGAACATAAAACATGAAAAACGATATTTGAAATATGGCATATTTCGATAATATGGAAAGCGTAGGCTGTTTCATCGCTGCATGTAATGCGTCAACACTTCATGAAATGATATCTGTAGTTTAATCACAACATTAACAGCTGCTTTCTAAAACGATAAAACCGAAAGATGGTCGCATATGGTCTCGCATTTAAAATGAAATGATTTTGGCACACTGGTTATGTTGTTCTATCGCCCGTGAAAAGACCAATTTATGAGTGAGTGAGAGAGTTATTATTTACCGTCACATCGGCAGTATTTCAGCCATATCGTGACGAGAACATATATGACATTGAAATGGAATAGATGTATATAATAAAAACCTGTCGACGAAGGACAGGAAAACAATTAGAATATCACAATTACAACTAAAACTAGTGTGGAAAGTTAAAACTGATAGCACTATTTGGACAATACAATATAAAAACTGGCTATAGATCGCCAACAACTGAAGGTAGATCACCAAACTAGGCCAATTTATGATAAACAACGGGTAGGGGTCTGTGGATATACTACTCCCTTATCTCCTCCAAAACATGAATTTTGAGCAAAGTTAAACATTCTCGCCCGTAGGTTTTAGACATTTTTCTCATTTTTTTCAACCTAGCATATATTCACGATAACTGCACGTTGAACTTTGTCAAATCCTTTGTCAGAAAGCAGGCGCTCAACCACTTCTCAACTGGCACAATACACATGAATGACTACAACATTATACATATTTGAAATATTGTACATGAAACATACATATTTATGAAACGAGTGAAGCGTAAACTATCATAACATTGGCACTATTAAGGATGGTATTGACAACTTACATTAATAGCTAAGTGAGTGAGTGAGTTTAGGTTAACGCCGCACTCAGCAATATTCGGCGGTGATTAACAGCATGAGCATCCTCTATTTATATCCCCTATGTACTTATACAACAGGCTTCACTTCCCCCTTGTGTACTTTGCAGGCTTCATTAGTATTGCTTTCATCTATGCCCTAGGGTTGTTATTGTGTCTGGTTTCCTAATCGTCATTGTACTGTACAAACATCTGCTCAAACTTGTACATATGCTCCATCATCCTTATGCTGTTCATCACTTGCTTGATAACGGTGTTAGAACTATACCGAAACGTCGCTCTCACTATAAAGACGTTGTTTGTCCATATATTGTTATCCTTCCTTACTGCCCCAACTTCTAAAAGCATGAGCATCGATCTGCGCAATTGGGAACCGATGACATGTGTCAATCAAGTCACCGAGCCTGACCACCCGATCCCTTTAGTCGCCCCTTACGACAAGCATGGGTTACTGACGGTCAATATTCTAACCCGGACCTTCACGGGTATAATAGCTACGAATGGAGTATGTGTCAATGGTGTTCAGATTACAAGCAAAAACAGAAATTCATGGTGACATGTAAATATAAAACATCGAATGTAAAATGTAGTAAGTTGATTGTAAATAATGATATTCTAAAATAATAAATACACTAAAAGAAAGACACATTTTGATCATAAGGCCTATGTCCCACGTGCCCATCACAACCAGCATTAAAAACCTATTTTATGAATAAAAGAAACTTGCTCTTACATAACATGTGATGTCACTGGAAATATCAATTTTAGGATTCTCTGCACGTACGATTAAAAAATGGGAGACAAACGTCAGAGATCTCACACCATTGGGAGATTTTCTGTTTTTTACTGAACGAGCATAATATTTTTGTGAGTTTTGTTTTTTTTCCCAAAACAAACATTAGTTGCTTGATGTCCTTAAGCAGAAGATCCTGACATTTCATCAAAATATCTAAATAGTTCAACTTCAATTAATATGCTTGGCACACATAGACCCTACTTCTGGTCCAAGTGACCCGTGAAGGTCCGGGTTAGAATATTGATCTTAGTAACCCATCCCAATTGCGCAGATCGATGCTTATGCTGTTGATCACTGGATTGTCTGGTAAAGACTCGATTACGTACAGACCGCCGCCCGCATCATTTCGTTACAGTCAAAATCATGTCGCATTACTCCAGTCCTCAAATCACTTCATTGGCTCCCAATTGAATCACGTATCAACTTTAAAGTTCTCTATACTGTCTACAAATGCCTCCACAACCAAGCCCCATCCTATCTCACTCAGTTGATCGCTGTATACACACCAGTCAGAACTTTTCGATCTCAGAACCAGCTCCTACTTACTGTACCAACTTTTCGACTTTCCTCATTTGGTAAACGATCGTTCTTTCATGCAGCCCCAAGACTATGGAATTCATTGGCAGTCCACATCAAATACTCTGATTCTCTGACTGCTTTCAAATCACGACTTAAGACTTACCTTTTCTCCTCTGTATATACCTGACTCTCTCCCTCTTCCCCCTGCGCTTTTAGCATGCACTAGTGGGTGGATTATAGCGCATAACAAATGTCCATTATTATTATTATGTTTTACAGTTTAAAGATAGAATGCAGCAGAGAGGGTTCGGGTGATCCTGGCACAGTCAGGCTGGTAAGGCTCATCATCAGCTCAGGGCCCTTGCCCCCACTACACGCAGCCCAGACAGACAATGGGACCTATCCCAGGAAACGCTGCCTAGTCGAACCCATCAAGAACTTTCCGGAGAATATGAAGGCTCCCCAACACTGCAGCCTTCTGCATTACCCAGAGTGTCAGAAGGGCTTTACTCCCGTTGGAGAACCCGGGCACTCTCCTGATCTGCGCCAAGAGATCAGGAGGTACCAAACCTAGGGCACCAAGAACAATGGGGAGCCTGGCGACAGTGTACTTGGGATGCAAGCGAGACAGTTCAAAGGCGAGGTCCGCATATTTATCATGCTTTTCCTGAATCTTGCCAATCATATTGGTGTCAAAAGGGACAGAAAATTCAATGATATAAATAAATTCATTGGCTTTATCAAAAAGGACAAGATCAGGTTTGTTGGCTGGAATTCTTCTGAGGCTGTATATGGGCCTATTCCAGAGAAGTTTGAAAGCATCATTTTTCAGGACGCCCTGGACATGTTCAGGGTCGTACCATGGATGGACCTCGGAGTCAAAGCCACAGGCATGTCGGAGACGGTAGTAAAAGCAACGAGCCATGCCATCATGTCGTTTAAGATATGATGTTTGTGCCACTGACAAGGTGTTGGACAGTCTCCGTGAATTCATTGCAAAGTCGACATTTCATTTTGATTGTTTCTTAAAGAATCACATTTAGGCGATTGCGAGTGGGAAGTGACTGGTTCTGAGCAGCAAAAAGGAATTCTCAGGTTTTGTTTATTATTATGTTTTACAGATTAAAGATAGTATGCAGCAGAGAGGGTTCGGGTGATCCTGGCACAGTCAGGCTGGTAAGGCTCATCATCAGCTCAGGGCCCTTGCCCCCACTACACGCAGCCCAGACAGCCAATGGGACTTCTCCCAGGAAACGCTGCCTAGTCGAACCCACCAAGAACTTTCCGGAGAATATGAAGGCTCCCCAACACTGCAGCCTTCTGCATTACCCAGAGTGTCAGAAGGGCTGTACTCCCGGTGGAGAACCCGGGCACTCTCCTGATCTGCGCCAAGAGATCAGGAGGTACGAAACCAAGGGCACCGAGAACAATGGGGAGCCAGGCGACAGTGTACTTGGGATGCAAGCGAGACATTTCAAAGGCGAGGTCCGCTTATTTATCATGCTTTTCCTTAATCCTAAGTTTGAAAGCATGATTTTTGTCTTGAATCTGGGCATTCTGGAGCTTGTCTCGAGCTTGCATTCCAAGATAGGTGTAAGCCTTATCTTCCACAAAATGCTCAATAACTCCTCCCCCTTGTAACTTGACCGATCCATCATTAGTTACCTTGCCACGTTTCAAATGAAGAGTATTACATTTGTCGAGTCCAAATGTCATGCCAATATCATTAGAAAAGGACTCGACAAGGAAAACCTGCTCTTTCAAATTGGAATCTCCTTTGGCAAGGAGCTCGATGTCATCCATGTAAAGTAGATGAGTAAGAGGTGTTGGGGATCTGTGCTGAGGAGGTCTGGGATGGTAACCCTCCTCTTTATAGAGCAGAAAGCTCAAAGGATTTAAAGACAGACAAAAGCAAAGGACTAAAGGAATCCCCCTGAAATATTCCCCTTCTGATTGGAATAGATTCCGAAGTCTGCACCTGCCCTTGCGAGTACATCTCAAGTTGAGTCGACCAGCAACTCATTAAAGACTTGAGTAAATCAAGTAGTCTCTCAGGGAGGTCAATACAATGAAGAGACTTCAGAATCCATTCGTGAGGGACAGAGTCGTATGCTTTTTTGTAGTCAATCCAGCACATGGAGAGGTTGCGGTGATATGTTTTAGCCTCTTCCAAAATCATTTTCTGTACAAGAAGTTGATCCTTGCACCCCCAACATCCCTTTCTTGCTCCCTTCTGCTCTCTGTAAATTATATCATTGGAAGAGCAGTAAGATGACACGAGGTTTGTCAAACACCCTGTGGATATTTTGTATTGTGTATTCAAACATGTGATAGGGCGGAAGTTTTTGGGATCAGTCAAGTCTCCTTTTTTGGGGAGGAGTATTGTGCGACCTTTGCAGAACAATGGAGGAACATCACCTGTGTCCACGAGAGAATTAAAACAGTGAAGTAATGGTGTTTGAACACAGGGGAA